GGTGGAGTACAGCCATGAATTCACATGCAGGAATCAAACACAAGACTCCGGTCTCGGTCAAGGTCGTCTCACAACCAATATGGATTTATCTGCTTTTAAGTAGTAATATTAGCTTTAAGCCTTTAATTGATCTGTTGTTTATGTTTCATTATAACTACTTACTGTTCTAGTGAACTGGCTGAATAATTATTTCATTGAATTTGTTTCTGTTTCAGTTTTTATCATCCCAAGATTAGAAACTCAAATGACAGAACAGACGATGATGACTTTAGATGGAACATCATCATTTATAAATGTTTCACTCATGAAGACTGTAGAATATATTTGTGAAAAATTTATCGAAAACTAAATTGGAACTACACTTCTGATTAGTGTCATAAAAGAATTATTACTGAGATGCACTATGAATGTGAAGTTTAGACTTAACGGAGAAATCTATAAGTAAATGGATGGAGTTGCAGGGGATTCCTCATTGTGTCCTGTCTTAATGAGAAGTCGTGACCAGTGGGTTAAATCGTGTGGGATGTAAGCCAGTCACCCACCGAAGACAATGGATGAGGTCGCGCAATATCGTAGATTGATCAGATTTAGACGTTAACACCGCTGGATGCCAGCTCATTCAATAAATCAATAAATAAATCGCAACGTAGAACTTCATACGTACGTACATCAGTTCATGCTGCCGTACCACATTAGCACAGAGATGTAATTGTCAATTCAAATCCAATAGTAAAAGAGGTATTAAAAGTATCAGCAGTAGTCGGAGAGGTTAGGATTAGAAGATATTATTCAAGAAGTAGAATCTAGTGAAACAGACTTAGAAAGATAAAGTGATGAAGAATTAAAAAGTTTAGGATTTCAGAGAACACAAGAAACGAATGCACCTGCGCCATTGTAAACGGTTTTGAGCTATGTCATTCAGGGTCTCTTACTATCGACTATTATCATCTCACGGACCTCAACCAGGTAGTCGACAATTACCGACATGACTCAGCTCACCTGTCAGTGACTTTATGGATTTGTGCCATATTTTGGTATGGCCCCCCCATAACTTTATTCCAACCTATTCCTACACTACAAAACAAAGCTCGACGAGGCAGTCGGTGGATAGGCATACGCAACACATGTCCCAAACACCTCTACTGATCAAGTGCCACCACTTCAACTATTGACCTGTCACTCTTACCTAGCACCCGTCGATTACTCGGTAGTCCCAAGATACACGAGCAATGCTTCGGAGCCGCCTATAATCGAAAAACAGTGACCTGCGGATATCTTCTACTCTTACCAGTCATCTTTCGCAGCCATTAAGTAGGACGGATAGAACTACTGCACGGTACACTCGTCCTTTAGTCAGCGAACGGATATCTCGCCTACGCCATAAATGACGTAAATTGGCAAAAGCCAATTGAGTTTTTTGTATCCGTACTGAGATTTCGTCAGTCATCAGGCCATCAGCACTGATGAGACTCCCCAGATAAGTAAAGCGGTCTACACGTTCGACTACTTCACTCCCTATCACTAGTTCAGATGTCGATGCAACCCAGTCTTGAAGCAACATTTTGCATTTCGAGGGTGAGAACCGCATCCTGAACATGCTTGCATTGTTTCTGAGGGTGGTCAAAAGACTGCATTTTGTCAGCGTCTTCACCAAATAGAACTATGTCATCGGCATATTCTAAGTCAGCTAGCGATTTTCCTTGTAGAAGGTCCACTCCTGAAAATTCAGACGAGGATAAAGTTATATCTAGGAGCATGTCTATGACAAAATTGAACAAGAATAGGGAAAGTGGACATCCCTGCCAGCTCAGTGGTCTAGAGTTTAGGCGTTCAGGCGTGGGAACGAGGTTTCTGGGTTCGACTTCCGTGTGCAAGGGTCGTGGATGCGCACTGCTGATGAGTCGCGTACTAGGACGAAACCGTAGTTCAGTGCTTAGAGATTTCTAATGGTGGTCTAACATAGATCAATTTATGATTTCAATGAAATGCTATTGTCTTTATTATCTTCATTCACATATATTATTATTATTATTACTTTTATTATTATTGGTTAAACAGTATAAAGATATGATCAATTCCATTCACTCTACTTTAATGTAACTTATTGCATTTATATATTATTATTCACTAACATTTTATATGCATTCCGATTATTGATGTTATAATTTGATTAGATGTGTAAACTTATTCGTGTGTTTTCAGGGCACCTTAGTCATCACAACATTTTTGTTTTTTATTTTATTTCACAAATCATCCTTTCATCTACTCAATTAACACCATCAAGAAGTCGTAGTTAATGAACAACAAACTGACGGAGATGGACTGCCTGACGTTTATCAAAGAAGTATATTTATGCGGAGAAAAATAATTGACAATGTTAACCACTCGTAAGAAACTTCTATTCCTAAAACTAAAACTCAACAGTTATGTAGCGATCAATGTCCTGCATATACAGCTAGTAGGACGTTCTACACAGCTAATTTTGTTTCGACATTTTCCATTTGTCTAGTGATGTCTACTCCAACAAAGAATAGGTCATCTGATCTTGCAACACCAAAACGCATCGACGAATTCGGCTGTTCCTGTTAAGGTGAATATACTGAGCGTACCACTAGATGGCTGGACCAACAAATGGATCGACATCTCCTCGATCGGTTTGGAAAGCGTAAGATAAATGCAATATACAGCTCTGTCTTGACACACATGATTGACGGTGATCTAATGATAGACGAGACTGAATTTTTTAGAGTGATCTATCGCACAACTTCATCATTTTCCAATAGAGCTCGACCTCGCCTCCTTTATATGCATCAAAAGCCATAGGAATTCGTACCTGTGACTCTAGTTTATATATTTAGAAAAAATAGCTGCGATACATCTGTCCTTTCATTGACTGATTATGACCTAGTGTTTTTGCATCGCGTATTTGCATGTCTTTTTCCCTCGTTCCGTTTATATTCTTCACAATCTCATTATTTACACATTTCTTACTAACGAATCCTAATAATATTTTGTGATGATTATTTCAAGATATATATATATCAAGAGAACGTAACTATCAGCTTAGAAAATCTGTCAAGGAAAGATTCTTAGTGATGATGACGATCATTTTTCCCATGAGTATGTTTAAGAGCTCATTAAAACGAAACAATCTATCTATAAATAAAAATGCTAATAAAAGTCTTTGGATTGATAATGTGGTTTTACATTAACTGCCAAGGTAAGACAACATATTTCACAATGGATTTTGACAATATTCACAATTAGAGCTTTCTATAAAACAGCCAACACTGTACAAGACGATTTAGCTAGAATTAAGGACAAAATCCCTGCTACATCCACACAAAACTTTGTCTACAACTTAGGTTTTGTTGATTGTGATGCATTTATACTGGAGAATCTTCTCGTGAAATCTCAACACAAGTCAAAGTACACTTAACCTACACAAAATGATCTCCTAATAAACCCGTAGAACTGAAGAATTTACTAGCTGAATCGACAATGACAGTACATGATATATTCAGTAACCGTCAAATCGATATTAAACATTTAGAAATAGTGTAGAAATTTTTTCCAACTATAAAAAAAGAGGGAAGTAGACAAAGAGTTTGACACTGAATACAAAATTAACCGTTTAATGATAAAATAAACGTCTAATATAAGTGAATGACCAAACAAGATAGAAAACAATTGATTTCAAATTATTAAGGTTAACTTTTGAACTATAACATTTTGATTTAAGTAACTTACTGCCTATTGATAACTATTAAGGCAGTTTTACATAGTTGTCTACATTGTGGTTCATAATTTACGATGATTGTATGGGGTGTGATTAACTTCTAAATGGGAGCTTTTGTAAATTGAATAATTCCAGTGATGATAATTTATAATCTGTTTTGAATGACTGTGGTGTGTGCTACTTATACGAACGATATAAGTAGTATAAGAAGGGACGTGAAAGAAGAAGTCTCATGGTCAGAAGAGGAAAACGGAAAGCAAATGGAGCAAAAGCAGGAAGTAAATGGAGTACCAACAGGAAGAAAAGGAAGCAACAACAGGAATGGAAGAAGGATGGAGTGTTGGAAGTCACGACTCAAAGATGGTGTGTAAATAGAGTATTCATTGTAATGTTTTCGTTTTTAACTGACTCAGAGGGTAAATTTGCGTAATACAATCTTCCGCGCCTGCCTCAGTCTTCTCATGACTAACTATCAATGTATATATGTGTGATTACAGTAAATGAGTAGTAAAGTTGTGTAGGAGACATCTTACTCACGGCACATGCATTCAATCATCTTTTCAATGTAAAATTTGAAGTTATTCTGACATTCTAACAAATAGAATTAGATGAATATTTTTCAGTTACTGTTTCTCCTCGGTCCGGCAGATATTTGACATTTATAAAGTGTAGTGATTTATTAAGTGTGTTAAAATGCTTAAAGATGTATAGTGCAAGCAAAAATACATCACATTTTATTTTAGATTAACTTTCATCTCCAGGTTGTTCTATCAAATATTAATATTAATAATTATCATCATCATCATCAAAATTATCACTTACTTTATCTTTAATTGACACATGACGATCATCCAAGATTTTCAAATGTTTCAAATTAAAAATAATCTTTCCAAAATAATTATTTTGATCACAAATGGGATTATTCTTCAAATTTAAATTCTGTAGACATGTTAATGATTTAAGTGGCCTTGAGTAAATTTTTTGAAAAGAAGATATATTAAAAATCTGAAAAAAACAAATTCAACAAAATAACTTACATCAAAGTTTGATGATCTATAATTTGGTTTTGACTTAAATTGAGAGTATGTAAACGTTTCATCAATGTTAGACCATCGAGAGCATGAATATCACATGCTTGTAAATTTAAATGTTGAATTTTATACGGCAACAGTCCAAAACCACTCGAATCATTAGATTTTAAATCTTTTGTGGATTCATTAAACAATGAACTTTCGCTGTGATGTTGATTGCCTGTGAAATTTTTATCATACAAGGCTTTCTGTATAGAATGCCATTCATTTGAAGTTAATTGAATACTTATAGCATGAGAAATTTTCGGATTATAACTTAAGTTGAGTATACGTAGATGTGGGATACCTAAGAATGTTGGACGTACAGTAGATAAATTTCTTTGTTTTAAATATGTCGACAAGTTGTTGCTTCTCTCCAAAGGATCAATTAAACCAAGTTGGATTTCATCTTCATTCAATCCTGTTAATAAACAGGAACTTAATTGACAAGACGTCAAATCCAAACATCGTAAACTCATACATCCCCATAAACCTGTTTACATAGAGAAAAAAACATTTGAGCAAAATTATTTAGTCATAAATAGAACTAAAATAACCATATTTTTTTATAGTTAATTATATTTTCTTTATTAAACATTCTTTATTTCATAGAAATAACATTTTGCAAAAGATCCTAATCATTTTTACTTTAATCTAACTCTTAAAATGCTTTATTTGATGAAACCAATCACTGACAACAATCATCCTAATTATTTGGTATTGTATCGAGCCAAGAAGTTAAATACATTATTCTTTTCAGTAAAAGATATTTGTAGAGAGTTTTAATTATCATTAGAATCATGAACCCATATTGACTAGGAAACCATTAAATTCTAGGAAGCGCTGGATAGCTGTTTCGGTATGTTTTGAGACTTCTCATTAATAAATATTTACGACTTCTTTAGAGGCCAAAATTGAAATGTTGAGGTTTCGTGATGAGTGTTTAACCATTAGATCACTGAGCGTAAATTCATTAATTTACATGTCAATGATGTTGGTTGTGAGGTAAGTGACCTAAAAAAAAGCGATAGAGCATGTTTGCATTGTACTACGAATTGGTTGGAATTAGACGAATCAACCGTTGTATGTACGCTCAGTGGTCTGAAGATTAAACATTGGTCGCAAACCTTGAAATCGTGATTTCGGCCCCTAACGGGAGCGTAAAAGAGTTTCATAAAAGAACAAAACAGCCTTCCAGTGCTTCTATTTTTCAGTGATTACCTAATTTACATATTCTCTCTGTACTGGGTCTTCATTCACTGGTCTACGTTTACAAAATATTTTGAAGAGTGATGTCTGAGGTCAATTTCAATCCACCGTCTACTCAAGTTAGGGAAATGAATTAAGCTGAGTTCTCACCAACAGTTATAAAAATATCCTTGAAACGGATCTGTTCATGAATGACTAATTGTACTTCGTTTAAAGAGCATGAACCACAGTTAGATTTGCTGACTGCCTCTTTTTATTTTAACATATATACAACCGATCATTATCTTTAGATGAAATTAATGGGATTGAAAGATGATTGCAGTCTGAATAGAAATCAGAAACGTAGAATTATATTCAGTTTTTCAGTCTCTAATGAAAACTCAAACTTATCTAATTTTGATTTTGTTGATAAATAGTACAGACACATATTTAGGCGTCCTACAATAGCTATCTTCTTGGACGTTGAAGCAGTATTTGACTCTGTTGATCGTGAGTTTCTGTGGCAGTGTCTGTCAATAAAAGGTGTATCAGAGAATTACATTAGGCTTATAAAAGCTCTTTACTCGAACAGTGCTGATTGAGTTAGAGCTTATGGAGAACTTTCATCGGAATTGGTTACTTCAAATGGTGTCTGTCAGGGATATCTACTTTCTCTATTCTTGTTTAATTATCACTGGTCGACTTTGAATATGCCAATGTCGTAGTTATACTTGATGAACACTCTTGACAAACTGCAGTCTTCTGACTACTCTAAGCAACAATGCAAGCATGTTCGGGATGTGATTCTCTTCGTCGAAATGCAAAATGTTGCTTCAGGATTGGTTTGTATCGGCACTTGAACTAGCGATAGGGAGCGGAGCAGTTGAGCATGTTGACTACTTGACTTACCTGAAGAGTATCATCAGTGCTGATGGCCTGGTGACTGACGTAATCTCAGCACGGATAGAGAAGGCACGACTGGCTTTTGCCAACCTGCGTCACTTATGGCTTAGGCGAGATATCCGTTTGTTGACTAAAGGACGAGTGTACTGTGCAGCAGTTCACCCTGTCCTACTTTATGGTTGCGAAACATGACCAGTCACAGTAGAAGATATTCGTCGGTTTCTTGTTTTCGATTATAGGTGTCTTCGAAGCATTGCTCGTATATCCTGGGACAACCGAGTGAGCAATGCTGTCGTTAAGAAACGAGTTCTGGGTAGGGATGGCAAATCAGTAGATGAAGTATTGAAACTTCATCAGTTGATGTGTTTGGGACATGTGTTGCGTATGCCTAACCACTGACTGCCTCGTCGAGCTATATTTAGCGGTGTAGGAATAGTTTGGGAGAAAGCTGGGCGGCCAGATCAAAACATGGCACAAATCCATGAAGTTACTGACAATAGTGCTTGTATGGTATAGCAACTTGACAATTCAAGTACGTACGTTCGTACGAAGTGTTACGTTGTTATTAGCTGAGTGACTGAAGGGCTTGGAACATTGTTTCTTTCTAGCCTGATAACTGGTCATAACACGAATAAAGCACATATATTAAAGACTTAATAGGTCACCAATCCGATCTTCACAACTTAAACATACATCGACTTAGATAAGTAAACCATCAGATCACAGTACATAACAATGAAGAAATTATACATTGCGCACAATCAATTGACAAGAAAGAAGCAGCAGATTAGTAATTAACTAACAATAATTTGGGGAGGGGGAGCGTTTATGTATACAACAACCATTCATATATCAAATATGAAACCACTAGAAACAAAGGGGAACTGAACAAGCTTTACGTCCTAGCATGCGAATCCTCATTTGTACATATCCATTATTTCACTGGAGACTGAACCGAAGATCTTGTGATGTGTTAGAGTGATTTTATTCGTTAGACTACTGAGCTTTTATCCTATGTTTTCCATATCCAACTTTATTCAACTCGAAACACTGCACAACTATTTGTCACTGCCACTAGACTGCAAGTGCCTCACACCTGATACGATTAGGCTTCAGTAGTCACTATTTCTTGCTAAAATCCCGGAAAATTTTTCGAAATAAATCACTATTGAGCAGATGTGATCATTGACCACTGGTCAATGTAAACAGTTGAAATTTCATACACTGCTTCACGGATATCACATATCGCCCATTCGCACTAACTGGCTTTAAGATGATCAGTCAATATGCCTAAATCATTTTTCCGTTAAATAACTAGAATTCTGTTCACTTATCAGGAGTATATTAATAAAATTTAAGAACTGGTTTGAAATTTAATAGTAATCACCTCCATGAATCCGACAGAACCATACTTTGACTTTAAATGAAAGTAAAGAATTCATGGCATTGATAAGCGATTAAATCTTTGAGTGACAGACACTCTTTTATCTGTCAAATGTATCAGCTTCCATTCAAATGAATATCGAGATATTAATCAAATGTAAAACTTATTTCACACACTGTCTCGAACATTACTCATAACTTCACTAGTACTGTGGTGCGCGCTACTTATAAGCAGTATATGACGTGAGCGTAAACGTAATGTCTGGCAGCAGAAGATGGGGGAAGATCAAGAAAGGAAGAGTGGGAACACAATGGAATTCGTATGAAACGCATGAATAGTGAAATGTCAGACAATGGATTGATGATGGGTTGAAGATTTACAAATTAACGGTTACGATATGGTTTTCCTATTTTACTGAGTAACTCTGTAACTGTCGTTAAATACAATTCGGTTGCCCTCACCTGTGTTCTCCTTCACTACAGTATGACAAGCGAGTTCGAAAAATTTGTGAAAAAGAAGTATCAGTAAATATAGATCATATCTACTTACCAGAAATACTTGCTAATGGATTATGAGATGCATTTAATCTCTCCAAAAATGGCAATTTATTTAATTCTGGTAATTCATGTATATTATTCATTGAAAAATCCAAGCTGATTAGTTTTTCGCAACTAATTATTGAAGAGATATCATCTAAGAAATTATTTGACAGATTCAAAATTTCTAATTTAACAGCATTTATTAAGAGTGTAATGTCACGTAGTTTGTTTGAAGATAAATTTAATGATGTTAAATTGGTCCAGTGCAATGATGAATCAAGTGAATTAATTAAATCAAATGAATTCGATAGTTGTCCTTCACAAAAGTGAAATGATTGATCATTTGAACACTTTTTTAAATTTTTTAAATATTGACTGTTTTCATTCATGGTAGACATTTTAATGTGAACGCATGAAACTAATCTCTTATTAGTTCTATTGAAAATTAAAATATCTCTTTTTTATCCAAAAAAATATTGTGAAAGATTTTTGTATTTATGCGAACCTACTGGAAAAAATATTAGCATATTCGATTATTTAGAAATAACTGAGTAAAAAATTACAAAATTACACTTAACGAAGTTATAGTAAATAACGGAGTGAAATTATATGTTACTCAGCAGTAGTTCACTAGTTTACTAGCAGCAACCTCTGCAGCAGCAGGTCTCAACATATATAAAGGAAAAAGCAATAAATTCTCCGATGCAACACAACATGCACCAAACCAAACACTTGATGGAGATGCCTTGGAAGACGTTAACACTTTTACATATCTGGGCAGCATCGTCGACGAGAAAGGTGGATCCGATGCAGATGTGAGGGCACGGATTGGCAAAGCAAGGGCTGCATTTCTACAGTTGAAAAATATCTGGAACTCCAAACAACTTTCAATCAAAACCAAAATCAGGATTTTTCAATACAAATTTCAAGACAGTTCTACTGTATCGAACGGAAACTTGGAGAACTACCAAAGCCATCATCCAGAAGATACAAGTGTTTATTGACAGCTGTCTACGCAAAATATTTCGGATTCGTTGGCCAGACACCATCAGCAACAACTTACTGTGGGAGAGAACAAACCAGACTCCAGTGGAGGAGGAAATCAGGAAGAAGCGGTGGAAGTGGATAGGACACACACTACGAAAAGCACCCAACTGCGTCACAAGACAAGCCCTCACATGTAACCTTAAAGGCAAAAGGAAAAGAGGAAGGACAAAGAACACACTACTCCGAGAAATAGAGAAAGATATGATAGGAATGAACAAAATTTGGACAGAACTGGATAGGGAAGCCCAGGACAGAGTTGGTTGGAGAAAACTGGTGGGCGGCCTATGCTCCATTGGGGGTAACAGGCGAAAGTAAGTAAGTAAGTAAGTAATGCTTAAAACTAAATTCCATTATTATCTTCTAAATTCCAGTCAAGCTAGGATCTGTTACCATTCTTTACCTAAAAAACTGTGTCTTACCTTACGATTATTCTAACCTACACAGAACCAGAGGAATCTGAGAACATAAGTAATTGGCACTTAATTTTTTGGAACAGTATGATATACACACTAAACGAAATCCTTAGTATTTTAGATATGTTTAGACTAAATGTATATAATCAGGTGTTATGGAAACAAATAAAAGATTTGTCTGATGCCGCTTGTTTTGGGTCCCCCTAGTACCTAAACGTAGCCAAACATGATAACATTAGAATTGCTTCTGAACAAAAATTTGACTTTTAATATTCAGATAAAGTGTACAAGATTTATACTATTTGATCTGTGATACCTAAAATATTGCTGTAAAAGATTTTTTCAATCAAGGTAGACAAGGTCATTTTTCATGTTGCCTCCCGAACTTAGGAAGGATATTTCTCTTTCGGGGCGTGTTCATGGAGGATCGAATTAAATATGAGTCCTCCTCAGCTTCCCTACAGGCGTTAAAATCCTAGGCTTAAAAATGATGAATCGTAATTCATCATATCACTGGTAATCGCTTAATTACAATAAATACCTGGAGTATTTCAATACTAAACAGCACTTCAGATAACAAATGCTGGTGGCAAAACACATGAAAGCTAGAAAAATTCATCTTAATTCTTTGAAGTTCAGAATTAATTAGTTAAAGTACTCTGTACTAAAATTGATGCTAACAGAACTCTCTGCTAAATAATTCAAAACAAGACTAGTTTAATTTAAGTCTTAAGGTATTCTTTGACCATTCTTACTATGACCTATTGATTTATTGTTCCCTTCAGTCTAAAAGAGAGCAAAATAAGAATCCTAAATTCCTGTCAATAAGATAGCTTCGCTTCTATCTAGCTAGACGTAGATCAGAGGGAACCAAACGTTTGACAGTTTTACCCAGTAAGATTTATGACTTAAAATTTGAAATATATAAATAATTTTGAAGAGGAGTATTTTGTGAGTTTAGGGATGTCAGCTCAAAAAAGGAATATTTTATAATAAAGCAGAATTTTTCTAACCTACGTCAAATACTCGAAGACGCTTATGGCGATGGAAGGGTAATAACATAACAACGTACCAAAGCCCTATAGTAAGTCAATCCCCAGATGTAACTCGGATATATTCTAGCTTACATCATCAGCCAAGAATTACCCACTAATTAAAATTAATTTTATTATAAATAAGAAAGACAAATCAAAGAAGCCCTTAAAAATGACAACTGCATTAGTGATAAGGAGCGAATTAGTTGACCACGTTGACTGCTTGACTTATCTTGTGGGTGAGCAATCCCAATGGCTTGATATCTGACAAAATATCTGCACGGACACGAAAGGTTCGACTGGTTTTTGTAAACGTGCGTCATATTTGCAGGAGGAAAGATTATTTTTTGCTAATCAAAGGACAAGTCTACTATGTAGCGGTTAGCTCTATACTACAGCAAGGGTATGAAACATGTCCACTAAGAACAGAAGATATTCGTCAGTTTCTAGTTTTCGATCCTACGTGTCTTCTTAGCATGGCTCGTATATCCTGGGATCACCAAGTAAGCAATGTTGAGGTAAGGAAAAGAGTACTGGGTTTGGATAGATCAGCTGTCACTCAACAACAACATAGAACTTTGTACGTACGTAAATCAGTCCAAGATGCCATACCACATTAGCACAGAGATGCAACCATCACTTCAATTCCCAAAGTAGTAGAGGTAGCAGAAGTATTACTGAAGTTAGAGATTGGGGTTCGACGATATTATTCAAGAAGTAGAATCTAATGAAAGACTTAAAGAGAAAAAGATAAGGGTGATGATGAACCCCGAAGGTTAGAGTATGAGAGGAATCAAAGAATGAATGCACCTGCGTCATTTCAAACGGTTTTGAACCATGTCATTCAGGGTCCACACTAAAAATCTCCCCTGCATGGGATGTGCCGTAAGTCAATGTGACAACAGCTCCAAGCAGATAATTTCAAAAGAGGCCTTACAAACATCTGTCATTACGTTACTCATCTATTACTTGGACTCGATTGACTGACACATGTCAGGAAACGTATTAATTATTTCATTTATTTTAATTACTTCTTCAGTCCTTCAGCTTATTCTATCTCCTTCATTGCCATCCCTGTTTCCCTAACCCTAATTTTATGAAGGTATTTCACTATTTTAGCTTTTTTATGACAAATTAACAAAAATAATTGTCGTAAATTAGGTATGTAGTACGGATGAACTACTTCAAGTTGTAAATTACTTGCGATACGTATTTTGAAAGTTTTTATTTAAGATAAGAGTAGGATGATAGCATATTACTGTAGCATGAGTAAAAAAATTATAGGTTCACTGTTTCTGAATCTATTGAATTCAAAAATACGGGACAACAGTTGTCATAACATTTTCAATATATCCAATATCTTTTACATGATCTGATGATAACTAGTTGATTTCTTAATAAGATGAAGACTTCAGAACTAAGTAAATAAATAGATAATTTAGTTTATTAATTGGTAGCGAAGATTGTGAGAGCGGACCGAAGTGTAAGCAGATAATTGGCGAGATAGATTAAACTGGCGGTCTGAGCAGAAGGCAATAATAACAACAAGCGAGTCTCAAGACATGCACCAGGCACAGCTTGTCCACGAGGGAAACAACAGTCCGCATGTGAGTGTGTGTTTATCGTCTCTTCCTAGAGCTGTCCACTGAGGGACTGTTGTCACCTCGGCTGACAGACCGTTCCAAGTTGCAACGACACTTAATAACAAAAAGTGTGCACGAACCTGACTATCCTCTCGCTGGCGCGCGATTTTTGAGGATTGCTTCGAGGCGAGTGATGGTGATGCATCAGTAAAGTGCTCACGTTGGGATGGTTTGGTGTGTTTAACCTGCTGCACGCTATAATCAGATCACTTCTGATTCTCCTGTAATTTAAGGGAAATGATCCGATATGCTGGAGTCCGTCTTCGTGAGTTTTATTTTTCAACCCTATCACCTTTTTCGCCGTTCGTCTCTGCACTCGGTCCAAGAGATTTATCTTTCTTTGGAGGGGAGGGTGTGCGACGACGTTGTGAACCTCAGGGTGTGGGCCTGCATAAGTCTTAAACAACGTTCGGAATAATTCAGGGGTCAGTGCACAAGTTGTCTTCACATGAAGTGAGGGGTTGCATTTGCCTTGAGTGAGTCCCTCATCTTGTTAAATCTGGCGTATTAGCTTTCAGTGGTTATTAGACCGAGATCGAGCTTTGAGGAGATACTAGGGGGAGGACTTCCATTTGAGAGTACACGTGGGTTGAGTCATGTGGGGCAGAATGTACATGAGGTGACATTTCGGCATCTTTGGTTTCAAACCGTTTAACACTGTCCATTCCTCATGGATGCAAGGTCTTTTCGAAGCTCAGTCGAATCCTCTTTGCTTCTAGTGGTCCTCCATATCTTTTCGTCGTCTGGGTAGATCATTGTCGTGGAGCTAACTTAGTCCAAGAAATATCTGGAGGAGAAGCGGTACTAAGATGGCTACCTGTGAAACTCCTGTTACTGAGATCCTTCAACTCGCGTGCACTCTGTTTACCGTGATAAAAAGCTTTCTATTCTCAGGGTTGTTTCTGAGCCAGCCGGTGATGCTCATTTGCGGAATCTTCGCGATTAAGCGTTCGCGAGGCACTTCATCAAAGGCTTTTTAAAAGTCTAGAAATATTATGTGTACCGGTATTTTCCCGTCTCAGCATGATATCCAATTTTCCAATTCATTGATAAGATTGGAAGCTCATGACCTTACTTTCCGAAACCTGTGTTCAGCTTCATTGAGGTTTTCCCTTTATATCCATGTACTCCCTCATTCGTTCGTTTACCAGCTCTTCCATTTTGTTCGATTTAATTGGTAGTATTGTAAGTGGTCTGTAAAAGGCTGGGTCCTGTCTATCTCGACATTCGATGATTGGAAAGAGAGTAGCTTTTTTCCCTG